CAACTCTTTTCATCCTTTTCTCAGGAAGTTTTCTCCAGGCTCCTTTTGAGAGGGAAGTGGGATCTGTGTTTATTGAAGGGTTTTGATGCTGTCACAGTGACGTGGGGCCAATGATCTCAAAACGCTTGCTTTGCCTTAGTGATGATATATTTTTCATGGCGGTGAAACCGCAGTAACTTTCTGGTTGATTTGTATGAAAAAAATTCAACTCATCGAAGAAAGAAGAGGAGTTATCAACTTGATATTCCAGCTGTGTCTCTTTTTACTTTATGCATTTGTATGTATCTCATGGTGTATTGAGAGATATGAGGGACTTCCAAGAGAGAGCCCCAAGGATGGAGCAGGTTTGATGCTGGTTGCTGAGACCTTTTCATTTTGATTGTACTATACAGTTTGCTTTACCTTTTGGGATTTCTAAAAGATATGTACATTTGTTATAGACTCGCCTAAAATCCTTTGTGTGGCCTCGCACAGGCTAACTAGATAAGGCTACAGAGGAGTCTCTTATTACAGAAGTGAAGACTGCTAATGTTTTATCTGAATTATTCATGAGAAATAAGGATTCTAAGGAGAAAATATCCAAGGTTAGATTGGGGAAATACATTTCATAAGAGGATTTTCATTCACAGTAATTATTTAAAACTCACCACAAATTTTAATGAAATTACTGTATAGCTTCTTCCTGCTAATTCAATTGCTGTCTAGTTTAAACTTCTTGTATCATTTCAGAAAAAATAAACCCCCGGAATCAAATTAGTTATAGCTAAAATAACATAATTATCTCATGCTAATAGCAGTCAGTTTAAACAGAGTTGGGCAGGCAGGCAGGTAGATAGTTTAATCACAAATTACAGCAAATTGACACTTCATGAGGGAGGAAGAGGCCCGAACTTTGAGATTGGGAGGAAGAGCAAATGGTATTGAAAACCACTTGGCACAGCCCCCTGTTACAGGTGGATTTTTTCCACATTCTTGTTCATAGCTGTAATTCTTCAGAGTCCAGTGGCAACAGAAAAAAGAAACAAACAAAAAAAATCCCACAACTATCCACAATTTATCTCCTAGTTTGTGCTGATTCTCTAGGTTGCTGAGAATTTATCTGTATAGGTTAAAGAAAGATTTTTTTTTTAAATCAGCATAAGATAAAATCCTTTTTCTTTTTTTTTTTTGAGACAGAGCCTCAAGCTGTCCCCCTGGGTAGAGTGCCGTGGCATTACAGCTCACAGCAACCTCCAACTCCTGGGCTCAAGTGAGTCTCCTGCCTCCACCTCCCAAGTAGCTGGGACCACAGGCGCCCGCCACAACGCCCGGCTATTTTTTGGTTGCAGCCGTCATTGTTGTTTGGCGGGTCCGGGCTGGGGATTCGAACCCGCCACCTTAGGTGTACGTGGCTGGCGCCTTAGCCGGTTGAGCCATAGGCGCCGAGCCATAAAATCCTTTTTCGAACTCTTTGAACTCTGTCATTTAATGTTGACTCCTTTCCCTCACCTTTCCTTCCCCTAGGTCCACAGAGCTTAACAATATACATATATATATATATTTAATTCTCTGGGTGCCATTTGCTTGCTCTTCTTTCTTTCTTTTTCTTTCTTTATCTCTCTTTCTCTTTCTTTCTTTCTTGCTTGCTTGCTTGCTTGACAGAGTTTCCATCCATTGCCTGGGCTAGAGTGCAGTGGCATCATCATGGCTCACTGCAGCCTCAAACTCTTAGGTGCAAGTGTTTCTCCTGCTTCCAGTTAATTTTTTATATTTTTAGTAGAGATGAGGTCTCACTCTTGCTCAGGCTATTCACAAATTTCTGAGCTCAAGCAATTTGTCTGCCTCAGCTTCTAGAGTGCTAGGATTGCAGATGTGAGCCACCGTGCCCAGCCCATGTTGTCCTTTATTTGTTCACAAAAGTGCAACAAAGTACTAACGTGTGCTGGGTTAGCCACTTGGAACACTTTTACAACCAGAAAATATAGCCTACCACAGAAAAACACACCCCCCACACACTATGAGCCCATAACTTAACATTAGGAACCATATGAGGAAAACCAGAAAGGACAGCCAGCAGACCCAGCAAATGGAAAATTTAAGCCACTTCTTCTAGAATTAGACACTACTGTAATCTGTTACTCTATTGTAATCTGAAAGAAACCATATGCATTTTAAAAATGAGTACAGTACACAATTATAATAGGGACTTTACCTAACAAATGCAAACATTGTAATCTAATTCTTTATACCTTAAATTGTTATTTTCATTAAAATACATGTACTGCTAGGGATGATTTTAAAAAACAACAAAAAATCAGGTCTGACATAATAGGGAGGGAGATGATGAATGGTAGAGTATGAGAGTAACGATGGAAATTGGTTTCAGTTAAGTTTAAAAAAAATCTACTATGTGGGTAAGAGATCCCTGGCCCACAGCCTGTGCCCTCCTTGGCAATGAATTTTCCTGTTCGTTCTGTTACTCAAGGCATTTTATTCAGCATAACCTGCTGAACTATGATAATTAATGATGACAAGAGAAAAAGAAATTCCTAAGGGTCTTGACTTCTAACAAGAGAAGATTGTATTTATGGAAAGCCCCACAGTGGACTGGATACACCCCTCATTTTGATAACTGAAGGGTCTGTGACACGTGCACTTTCTTCCTAGCAGATTTCTTCAAGTGCACTATTTCATTATTGAATGGTTACCAGATTTTAAAACCTGTCTGCAAAATTTAAGGGAGGAAAGATGCTTCACCTAGATTTTACTCTATGCTTCACTGGTAAAAAGTCCAGAAAAAAAAACACCCTGAATCAATGGAGCTTCAAATACATCATTATTGTTTAGCTTATCACCTCAGTGATGGGAAATTTGAGGGGGCCCGAGGTGGTATCAGCATAAACAATATTCACATTGAATGCATGTGTGTGTATAGACACACTGCTGGTTTCACCTCACTGACTTGACATGCTAACATAGAAAAACTTGGTAGAGAATTTCCTAGAAGCAGCTGGCCTACATAACCTGAACACAGTGGCTATTTTTTCTTTCTAACAGATAGCTGGTAGCTGCAAGGTGCTGAGGTGCTGGGGCCACTCCTTGTGGTGGCCTTGACTGTAGCCTAAACTCTGCTCTCCCTTTGCCCAGCCCCGTGAATCTCCTTCAGAGTGTATGTGGCTCAGTTTTAGTCTAGTTCACTAGAAGGCCTTCTCTGAGCACGTGCAGAGGAGATTCCAGTGTCTTTGGGTCGTGACTGATTGACTAAGGGGACCTGCTTCTCCCACTGGTCCAAGCCCACCAGTAGTGTGGGCTGCTTGCATACACGAAGCCTGGGGCCCTGTGAGACTCTGGGGGCAGGGCTGTGGACTCAGTCTAAAAGAAGCTTTAGTCTGGGGATCAACTGTCCTGAGGTACTTGTTCCAAAGGCAGGCTCCCTATTCCCTACCTAGGAACGTGATTCGCTATGTCTGGTGGACTCTTTCTGATAGATCGTGAGGCTTAGGGACTACTGAACCTTGGAATATCATTCTATTCATTCTATAACGTACCTACTGCAAGACAGGTTCTCTCACTACAGGGGCTTTGATTACTGTTTGCTTGTTTTAAAAATTCCATTTATTCCATTCCATAAATATTTATCAAAGTCTATTCTGTGCCAGATATTGAGTTAGGGGGAGGGTTACAACAGAGAACAAGTTTGATGTGGTTTTTGTCTTTATGAAATGGAGAAAAAACAAGTCAACAAATTAATGATCGTAATAAGAACTATGGAGGAGACAACAGGATATATAATAGAGTATAACGGATAGAGCAGCAGTGAGTATTTAAAATAAAAAGAGGGTTAGAGAAGGGCTTTTTGGGAAGGAAAGCTTTAAGCTAGATTAAAAGGAGCCAGACACATGAAGAACATGCAGTATACAAAACTCGGGCAACGCCATGGAGGTGGGAATGCCTTTAATGTGTTTCAAGGTCAGAAATAAGGCCAGAGTGGCTGGTGCCCACCAAGCCAGGGGAAGAAAGATCTGAGGACCATGGTGAGGATTGAGAGGGGGTGGGGAATTAGAAATTTAATTGGAAATAGGAGTCTGGAGTTCAGAGGAGAGGCCAACTTTGGGAGTGCATTTGACAGCCATCAGTGTTTTGATGGAAAGCCATCAAAATGGACAGTCTAACCTAGGGATAGGCCTGGAGAGAGAATAGAAGAGGGTTCAGAGCAGCCAAGGCTTGGAGGATATGGGAGACTAGGAGGAAAACCAGGAGATCACAGGCTCCTGGAAGCCACAAAAGAAGCATCCTCAAAGAGAGTCTCCAGGTTGCATCATTGCTGCTGAAAATTCCAGAGCAGTGCTGTCCACTAGCTAGCTACTTGTGGCTATTGAGCACTTGAAAGGTGACTATAGCAAACTGAGATGTGAGTATAAAATAAAATGTACACTGGATTTGGAAGACTTAGTATAAAACTGAGAATGAAAAATATTTAATGAATACTTTTTAAGTAATAATTACATGTTGAAATTATATTTGGGATTTACTGGGTTAAAACAAAATATTTTCCAAAAATGTCACCCATTTCTCTTTACTTTTTTAAGGTATGGCTACCAGGAGATTTAAAATTACATGTGTGGTTTGCATTGTATTTCTAGTTCAGAGTTTGACAACACGGAGGTTATTAAGAAACTTGGTAAGAGTAGTCTGTCTGAGATGAAGTAATACCCAGCAAGTTGTTTATATACCAGTGAGACTGAACCATCCTCATGATAATACTGTTTTGCCTAAAATTAAATAATAAAACTAACCACTAAAATTTCTTCCAGGCTTTTTGATATGTGTGTAAATAATTTGATAATTTCACACAAATTGACAATATAATTTGTAAGTATTTAAACCTTATGCAACCAACTTTCAAATGTGGTTTAACAAATGTTTTTAACTTGAATTTTTCTTTCTTTCCTTTTTATTCCAGTATTTTTTTCTATTTATTGAATTGTTTTCTCTCTCTTTTCTTTTTCATATATGTCCAGGAAACTTCATAGTGTTATGGTCAACTTGCCGCACAACCGTGTTCAAATCTGTCACCAACAGGTTCATTAAGAACCTGGCCTGCTCGGGGATTTGTGCCAGCCTGGTCTGTGTGCCCTTTGACATCATCCTCAGCACCAGTCCTCACTGCTGCTGGTGGATCTACACCATGCTCTTCTGCAAGGTTGTCAAGTTTTTGCACAAAGTCTTCTGCTCTGTGACTATCCTCAGCTTCCCTGCCATTGCTCTGGACAGGTAAGAGCCATAAGCCAGGGAGTCAAGGTTTTGAAAATGTGTATTGAAAAATTAACATCATGAAGCAAATGGTGACTAGTCAATGTTCCATGCACTGCTTTTCAGTCTGCTTGTGGTCAACACAAAGAGAATTGAATGTCCAAAACCCATGCCTCACAAAGGACAGGTTGATTTGACAGCAGCCATCGAAAATAGAGCCACTAAAAAAAGACCTGGGGCTGCCAGTTACACTGTGAGGATGCTAGTAGAGCTATTAGAGCTATTAGATCAGCGTGTTGCTCGGCTTGGTCGGAATTGGTGGTATTTACATCGCAATTTGCAGTAGATTGTTCATTTCCTTGATAAATCTGCAATTAGGGCTTCGTGATGCGGGATAAAATATTTCTGGAAGAATAAGGGAATGATTAAGCGGTTACTTAACGAATGATTAGATTGTCCAGTTGGATCCGGCCATGTAACACCAGAATTCCTGTGGAAGATTTATTTCCAAGGTTTCCCTATTGTGGTGGTTGCTTTCTCTTTCCAGCCTCTTTAGAAAGATGTTCATTTAGAAATGAATCTTATATCTTAGTTACTGCCGTCATACGTAGTTTGATCACATGTATCAAAGTTAAGTGTAAGAGTCTCAGTAACCAGCAGCTTCCTGCCTTTTCTCTTTGCTGCTAGCACTTCATGAGTACACCTTAGATAATTATACATTCTAGTGGATAAAATTATTCTCTAGAATGTACTATTGTGTAAGCAAATACGACCTGAGAAGTATTTTGTGTCCATGAGTACTTTTGCTTCCAAGATTAACAGAGAGGAAAAGTTGCTTGAAGGGAAAATGCAGGCTCTTCTGGCTTCATACCCTGTGTTAATTTTTCACTTCATTTTAGATGAATTTAAAATTGTAAAACTCTTTGTCCATTCAAAACATACTCAATATCTTAATGACACGTGTGGGTGGTGATTGCAGAACTGATCTGTGGAGTTACTTCAGCATTTCAGGCCTGGAACCCTGACTCAGCTGCCTGATGTCGTCTGTGTGGAGGGAAGGGCCACACAAAGCCCCCAGCCTCCTGGGAGAAGCCATTGCCAGTTGACACCATGTTTAACTGAGTGGACCCTGGAGTCAGGAGTCTGGGTTTGAGCCCTGCCTTCACTGCTCTCTAGCTAGATGGCTTTGGGCAAAGTTGCTTAACTTTTCTGAGCCTTGTTTTCCTCAGTGGTAAGAAGAATTAAGTGAATCACTCATGTCTTGTGTTTAGGTAGGCTGCACCAATATTTACCTGTCTTTCCTTAGGTTCCCCTTCTGACTGGCACATTCCTCTTGAGATATGTTGTCTGCCATCATTTTTACCACCAAATCCTGCTGGGATCAACTCCAGTTCTTTAGAAGGGACTAGAATCTCACCATACACCAGCCTAGACAAGGCAGGTGGCAAAGTCAGGTGTCACCAGGCCTGATTGAGATTGTGGCACATGGAGCGTGTGCCTGGGGCCAGCCACTCAACATTTGCAGCGAATAATTGTTTTGAAATTAGATATCTAGACTCAGTGTGCAGGACTTTTGTTTTTAGAAGAGAAATTTAAAAATCCAGATTTCTATCATTCTTAAGTGTTAGCAGTTAATTTTCATTTAAAAAATATTAGTGTGGGGCATGTGAATCTCTTCCGTAAGATAGGCGTGCTCTATGAGATACCCATTCCCCATGCCTCCTTTATGGTGATTATGTGGCTCTTCCACTGTTCAAGAAGAGAAACCTTTGTATACCTGGAAAGGATGAAAGTGAAAAGTCAGAGTCTTTTCTCAAGTTTACACCCCAGCGGGAGGGCTGATGCGCTTTGTGTTGAAACATTGTGTGTTCACGGCAGGTGTCCTTCTGCCTGCCCCTCGTGGCACCTGCTCTGGTAAAATCTTACATTCTTAGTTTTACATGCGAGGCTCTTCTTCCCTAAAATAATTTTAAAAGCAGTTTTGAGATATAATACGCATATCATAAAATCCCATTTAAAGTATACAGGCCAGACTCGGCACCCATAGCACAGTTGGTTATGGTGCCGGCCACGTGCACCCAGGCTGGCGGGTTCAAACCCAGCTGGGGCCAAATAAACAACAATGACAACTGCAACAAAAAAAATAACTGGGCATTATGGCAGGTGCCTGTAGTCCCAGCTACTTGGGAGGCTGAGGCAAGAGAATCACTTGAGCCCAAGAGTTTGAGGTTGCTATGAGCTGTGACGTCATAGCACTCTACCCAGGGTGACATAGTAAGATTCTGTCTTAAAAAAATAAAATAAAATAAAATAAAATAAAGTGTACAGGCCAACGAATTTTAGCGTACTCAGGGAGTTGTACAACCATTCCTGCAGTCTAATTAGCGCATTGCCAGCACCCTACATAGAAACCTGTTCTCATTTACAGTCACTCCCCATTCCCATCTTCAGCCCTAGGCAATCACTAATCTACAGTGTCTCCCTTTTTTTTGATATTTAATACATGTACAAGTAGAATCATACGGTATATGTTCTTTTGCGTCTGGCTTCTTTCATATAGTGTGTTTTCAAGGCTCACCTATGTTGTGGCATGTAGCCATACTTCATTTTTGTGGCCGAATAACATTCCATTATAGGGTACCCCATATTGTGTTTCTTTATTTACTAATTGATGTACTTTGGGGTTGTTTCTACTTTTTGGCTGCTGGGAATAACGCTGCTACAAATCCTGAAAGTTTGATCAGAGTCGGATTCGACAAGAGGGGAATCACATTATTCTGAGCACTTTGCTGTTATACTGGGAAGCAATGCAATAATCCCTGTGGGTTGTTTGGGGACCTTTGGTCATAGACCACAAAATATACAAGCAACGAGAAATTCTTATTTTTGTTCCAGCAGAAAACTATTGTAATTTTATCATCACTTTTTAAAAAAGTGAAACAAGTCCTTTTACTAGAAAAACAAGGCAGGCAAACTCCTGTTTTATTATTCAGAGATGCAAATTACTTGCAGGCATCAGTGTAGTGGCGCACAGAAGGGAAGAAACAGTTCTTTTTCCTCACTTTGTTCACAGCTATTTGTTTCATGGCACCAAGTTAGCAAGTTAATTGGAAGGCCACCTACACTTCCTGCATCATTTTCTAGAGATGTACATACTAAGAAAATTATTTGTAATGAGCCTTTGTGCTTATGTTGCAGTCTATCTCCCAGTATGCGATGGGATTGGAAATTAATGGGAGCTTGGGTTTGTTACATGTCAGTGTTATAAATGGTAATCAGGACCAGTGGACTCGTAGGCACGAATTGATGTGTGGGGTGGGGTCATCATGTGTTGCAGAGTTGTGATTATTAAAGTTTGTTTAGATTCAAAAAACTAATTTTGAGAGCATATATCTCTTATGTACTTCTTTCTCTTTTTTCCCCTCTCTCAGAAAGAAATCTAGAACATGCTTCATCATGCTCCATCCTCCCTGATCATCCACGGTCACTGTTACGTTTGCATCTCATCTCCCTCAGCCTGGACCATTCTCCCTCAGCTTGTCCTCTTGCCAGCCTCCACCGTGGTGCTTCCTTCTCTTTGATACTTTGCCAGGTAGCTCTAAGTGCTACCAGTCCTGTACTTCCCTCGTGCCTGCCTGCAGTAGACCTGTCCTCTCCTTGTTTATAAGTGTTAGGGTACATGTCCTTCTCCCCTGGGGTGTTTTGAGTCATTCCTGTGTGTCTTTTCATCTTTGTAATCTGCCTGCCCAGGACTTAGCACACAAGTGGTGCTCAGAAATACTAGTTATGAGAAGGCTTACCTGCTTACCTGGTCCCATGAGTGAATGAATGTCACTAAGTTTGTAAGGTCAATCCCAGCATCTGCTGGCTGTAGACATGTGGCTTAGCTGAGTGAGATCTTTTATGACGGATCGTGGTTCTATTGAAGAATTACTCAGTTCCTCCAAATTAGTGATGATATTGAGACAAAGTACCTTTGGAATTCTCTTCAGATGGCTACAGAATGATCAAGTTAAAGCTTGGAATAAAAAAAAAAAATTCTCATCTGAGGTCCAGGTGCCATGGTTTATGCCTATAATCCTAGCACTCTGGGAGGCTGAGGCTGGTGGATTATTGAGCTCAGGAGTTCAAGAACAGCCTGAGCAAGAGCAGACCCCATCTCTAAAAATAGCTGGGTGTTGTGGCAGGTGCCTGTAGTCCCAGCTACTCTATTTGGGAGGCTGAGGCAAGAGGATTGCTTGAGCCCAAAATCTTGAGGCTGCTGTAAGCTGTGATCCCATGGCACTCTACCGAGGGTGACAAAGTGAGACTCTGTCACCCCCCAAAAAAAAAATATATATATATATATATATATATATATTCTATCTGATTTTAACACAAATCTAATTGTGCAGGCATTTTAGATCTTCTAATTGCTCTTCCGGTTACTGAGTGATTATCATGGGAACAAGGCTATGGGCAGGCATAACTTTTATCAGTGGAACTGATTTTGTGGAAGGACCTTCTCAGAGTCCATCCTTAGTGCTGGGTTCTTCTTCCTTGGGCAAGCTTTAAATGCTAATGACACCCAGTGCACAGACTGTGGCATGAGTCTGCTCTGCTTATGTGTACAGTAGACCAACTGCTTGCTATTGGTGGCTTTGAAAATTGCCTACAGCTTCACTAGCTCATGTAAAATTTTCACAAGTTACTCTTTATCCTTGAATTGAAAAGTAGATTTATTTACAGCAGATGCAAATATCTTTTATATTGAGAGCAGTCTTTAAGGCTTAATACCGAAGGCAATCACTATGAAGCTGGATACAAATGAAATTATTTGTTTTCCTGATGGAGAAAGAGGCTTGGAAATCTCACAGAGTCAGGGCCTTTCTCTGTTCCTTTGGAAAGGTGGTGGTTTTTTTTGTTTAATGATATTTTTCATTATACTTCAAAGTCCTCAGAACTTGAGGTCCAGCTTCCAGATTCCTCCTATGGTTCCCTGTGTCTTAGGCCCATTAAAAGAATTTGATTCTTTTTCCCCTTTCACCTACTTTCATTAATCTAGATCCCCCTAGTTAAAAAGTATCTTCTGTGAAATTAATTCTGTCTGTGCACCTGGCAGGTACTACTCAGTCCTCTATCCACTGGAGAGAAAAATATCTGATGCCAAGTCCCGTGAACTGGTGATGTACATCTGGGCCCATGCAGTGGTGGCCAGCGTCCCTGTGTTCGCGGTGACCAACGTGGCCGACATCTATGCCATGTCCACTTGCACAGAAGTCTGGAGCAACTCCTTGGGCCACCTGGTGTACGTTCTGGTCTATAACATCACCACGGTCATTGTGCCTGTAGCTGTGGTGTTCTTTTTCTTGATATTGATCCGACGGGCTCTCAGTGCCAGCCAGAAGAAGAAGGTCATCATAGCAGCCCTCCGGACCCCACAGAACACCATCTCTATCCCCTACGCCTCACAGCGGGAGGCTGAGCTGCACGCCACCCTGCTGTCCATGGTGATGGTCTTCATCTTATGCAGCGTGCCCTACGCCACCCTGGTTGTCTATCAGACTGTGCTCAATGTCCCTGACACCTCTGTCTTCTTGCTGCTCACTGCCATTTGGCTTCCCAAAGTTTCTCTGCTAGCAAACCCTGTTCTCTTTCTTACTGTGAACAAATCTGTCCGCAAGTGCTTGATAGGGACCTTGGTGCAACTACACCACCGGTACAGCCGCCGAAACGTGGTCAGCTCAGGGAGCGGGATGGCTGATGCCAGCCTGGAGCCCAGCGTGCGCTCAGGCAGCCAGCTCCTGGAGATGTTCCACATAGGGCAGCAGCAGATCTTTAAGCCCACGGAGGATGAGGAAGAGAGTGAGGTCAAGTACGGTGGCTCAGCTGACTTCCAAGCCAAGGAGATAGTCACCACCTGCCTGGAGGGAGAGCAGGGGCCACAGCTTCTACCCTCTGCACCACCCCCCGGCACCGTGGACTCTGTATCCCAGGTGGCGCCAGCAGCCTCTGTGGAACCCGAGACATTCCCTGAGAAGTACTCCGTGCAGTTTGGCTTTGGGCCTTTTGAGTTGCCTCCTCAGTGGCTCTCAGAGACCCGAAACAGCAAGAAGCGGCTGCTCCCCCCCTTGGGTAACACCCCAGAAGAGCTGATCCAGACAAAGATGCCCAAGGTAGGCAGGGTGGAGCGGAAGATGAGTAGAAACAACAAAGTGAGCATTTTTCCAAAGGTGGATTCCTAGCAAGGATGTAAACTCCTGGAGGCAACAGGGAGTGTCCATGTGCCTGCCCTTCCTTTACTCTGACCGTAGGATTTGTGTGATCTCATTGCAACTCAGTATGGGTTGATTCCTTCTGTATGGGCCAAATGCTTTTGAATGATATGGAAGTCTATATAAAATCGAATGTCCTCTTTACTGAGGGAGTATGTTTATCTGTCTTTGTGATCTGTGTCCTTAGTCAAGTCCATGTTATTGTCTGTGGGGATGAAAGCCAGGCAGCTGAGGGAGGGTCTGGAGGTGGGTACTCCATGTGCACTCTCTGGGGACTCCCTGCTTCCCTGAGCTCAGCAGAGCACACACAGAGAGATGAGCATCCATGAGCTCTAAGGGAATTCCAAGATAATTACAGAGCAGGTGGCCACAGAGGAAATGCCTATTCAATTAACTTTAACATGACAAACAGAGATTTCTTTTTTTTATCCTGAGAAGACGGAGACTTGGCATCTGACACCATTTCCTTAGAAGCCCCCATCCCATGATTCATGGTTTTGTCCAATATCCTCCATCCCCTCCTTTGGAATAGAGGCAAAGGACGACAGTTCCACCCCTATTTGATAGACATGACTGTAGATATGCCCAGCGGGTAAGGGAGATAATTTGTCTTCAATTATCCTGGTATTCTCTTGGCATTGCCAAGGCCTCAGAAAGATATGCCTGCACCCTCCAGTCATGGTCAATGTTAGCTAGAAACTCTTCACTATGTATTTCTCCTTTAATTGTGTTTTCTCAACAAATGAGAGAGAGAAGCTTACAGGTGCAGATGTTAGACTGAGGGATGCCCACGGCACTGCAGTCTTTTCTCTTCCCCATGATCTCACATGAAAGGTGCTATGTAACTATCAGTATGAATTAAAGTATATCAATAGATCATCTTATGCAAACTTTTGGAATTAAAAGGTAATTTAAAAATGCAGAGTTAGGGTCAGCTTGGGCCTTTTGGAAATGCCAAGCTAAAAGTACTTGGTTAGGAAAGATGATTCTGCCCAAAAGACTGGCAAGAGTCTGACAAAGAAGGTTCCATTCTGATGAGGACTCCAACTTAGGCACGGCCAGTCTCAGTTTCAGTCTTTGTACAGCTGTGTTTCTCCCTTCATTTTGGATGCAAAGGAGGAAGAGAACTAATTAATCACTGAAAAGTGCCAAGGTAATACCTAACCCAGCTGAGCTTTCCCAGTGAAGTTTCAGTAGGGAGCCAGGGTGGGTAGAAGAGTCTCTCAAGCAATTCAGGCCCGCTCTGGGCTGGATTTCACCAGACTGAATTTGAACCACAGCTGACAGTTCAGTCTCTGAGCAAACCAAGGGCCAGCTCTACTTAACTGTCTAGCTGTCTTTTCCACGCTAATGGTACTTGGGGGAGCCAGTCTGGTGCCTTGAGCAAGCTTGAAGGGCAGGGGGTGTCCTGACTGACAAACTTCCACACCCTGAATGCAGTGGCCCCGACACATCCCCTCCTTTAACCACGCTGGCCCCTTGACTTCAGTGGGAGCTCAGACATGTGTAGGGAGTTTCCTTTTCCTTGCTTCTCTGGGGTGTGGTGTCTTGTGATTCGCAAATGTCAACCCAAAGACCCTGCCCCTGGAGAGGGCGCCTTCCTCTTTGTCTTTGCCTCCTTGCCGGCCAGTCCTTTGCTCACAGTGGAAACAGGGCCCTGCCACGCCCTTCTGTGGCCCCCTGCCCCCTGGACCCTGTGTGCATGCCATCTGTAGCTCTTTGCCCTGCTAGTTAACGATGTGTCCCTCCAAGCTTATCTTTCCAAATCTTCACAACTGTTACAACTTTTATCAAGGGAAAAAAATAATCTTCAGAAAATTGTGTCTACTTTAAAGAACCTGTCAAATGTAGCCACTGTGGTGTTGTCCTGGTAATATATTGTGTATGTTCAACTTAATAAATTCCCACCAGGCAGAATTTGGTTGGGTATGTTTCTTACATATGTTTGAAGCAGATGGTTGACTTCTAACAGGTCATTGCCAAGTGTATTTCTATACTCTTTGAAGAATAACATTTTAATAAAAAACTGCAAAGTAGTTTCTGAATTCAAAGTTGCGTGAGCTATGTTTTTTCCCCTTCTCCCTCTCAAGTGGTATGCTGTCTGAACCCCTTTCTTCTTACATGGCCTCAAATGAAACATACTCATTTTTCTTCCATAAATGAAAAGGCAGCATGGCAGTAGCATTTTCTTGTGCTATTGCAATGAAAAAGAAATAAATTCCCAAAGGGGAAAAGGGAACATTTGAGTAAATGCCACAAAGATGGGTTCCAAATGAATTGGTGGATGGACTGCCCAGACCATAAGGGAAGAGTGGAGTGTGACGTCACCTCCCGCTTGTGGAAGGGTCAAGAGCACTGCCATTAGGGCCCTGAGCTTCGTGGTCAGATGGTCCATGTTCAAATCCTGGCCCTGCCAGTGACTATCTTGGGCAGGTGAAGTAACCTCTAAATATCTCAGTTTTCTCTCTGTAAAGTGGAGATAATGATGGTGTCAGGAGCTTCTGTGGTCCCAACTCACATTCCTTACCACTGATGTCAGCCGTGTCTGCAGTGGGCCGTTGCTGGCTGCATCCACTCACTTCCCTGCCAGCAGTCAAGGCCTAGCTTCTCTGCTTTCTGTCCTGGGAGAGCTCCTATCTCTGAGGGTAACTCGTGACCTGTGGGTCATGGGAACTGGTGGATAAAGACCCTGTTTCCTGCCTTTCTGCTGGACCATCGTGGAGTCCTCTGTCCAGTGCTCAGGAGGCCAAGCAGAGGCCCAGCATGGTTCTTAAATCATGCATCCTTCTGTTGGCTCTGCCTTCTCGGTCTCCGTTTTCTCTAGCCCTCATTCATACCCTCAAGGATCATCTCCCAAATACATTGCCTGCACAGAGCCCTTGTCTCAAGCTCTGTTTTCAGAGGAATCCAAGTGAGACAATCACAGGCCTCACGGGGCACTTGGGAGGGTTAAATGAGATGATCCGCTTAACACAATGTTGGTCACAGAGCACAGCTGTATCAATGTTAGTGCTACATGCTATAAAAATTTGATCAGGGAGCTTATTTGGAATGTTTTATTTATTTATTTATTTTTTATTAAGTCATAAACACATAGATCAGGAATGTTCTTAGAAAACTATATTAACTGGTCTTTCTCCAGTCATTGTGACAGTAATTAATATTTGTGATGATGATACTTTGGGGTAGCACATAATGCCCAAGGGTCTCTTTGATTCCTTGAAGAAGAAAAAAACAACTGTGTAAGCCAGAGTATTCATTAACCAGACAATTCTCAGTTTTTTTTGAGACAGAGTCTCACTATGTTGCCCTCAGTAGAATGCTATGGTGTCACAGCTCACAGCAACCTCAAACTCTTGGGTTTCATTGATTCTCTTGACTCAGCCTCCTAAGTAGCTGGGACTACAGGCGCCTGCCACAATGCCTGAATATTTTTTTGAAATTCTTGGTTTTCTTTTCTCTTCTTTTTTTCTAAAGAGAGAGATTGTTTAAAAATGTTCAACTTTGTTGCAAACCTGTAAGCCATATCTAAATATAAACGCCCATGAGTTACTATGTCAATGAAGTAATAGAGCAGATTGTATGGAGCATCTAAGGGCAGACATACCAATCCAAAGTGGCCCCATCCACAGAGAAGGGACCGTGAGTCAATTGCTTGGCAAACTAAATGAGCATCTGAAGTTCAAGCACAGGTCTGATTCATCTGGGGAGAAAAGCCAGCACTCCCTTCTGGCTCTTGGCAGACCTGCACCTGGGGTGAGATGGCTCTGTAAGCACATAGCTGCTCTGAGATGCTCAGGGAACAAAAGCTTATTTTAGGCCCAATTGTGCTGGAAGGGAAGGGTTAATGCTTTCATAGTGTAGAGCGCTGAAGTCTCAACATACAATGTAAATAACACTGTTACAACTTCCCTGAAAGAGTTGTAAAAATTTAGCAGGTTTGTATAACAACTAATGTTCAGTATTGGAGTTCTACAGCAAAAAGAAAAATGAATCATGGTAACTGACCTCAGAATATGGGAATAAAACAGGGATAGAAAAATCAGTAGCAATACCAAGGGCAGCATAAAAAGACTCTTCGTGGGAAGCTTTTAAAATAAATTGAAATGATCTTAGAGTCTCCATGTGGGCAGGTTCAGAAGATAAAATATTTCCCCTTCTCTTAGCCTCAGGTTCAACCAGTGTTTCCCCCCATTTGTGCCAAAGGGATACATTAAACAGCAGAATAAAGGCTTAGAAACCTTTATAGAAATAAAACTATTATCTCCAGTACTGTTTTATGAAACCTCCACTGCTATTCATGTTCCGGGGCCTCAGGAGCCTCTTATTGCCAAATGGAAATGAACGAATGGTACATAAATGAGTAAATAAGAGATACAGTACCTGGAGCAGGGGCAGAATCCCTGTTGTATATGAGCCGATGAAAGATTTGCTGCCAGTGAGTTTTTTTTCGGGTTCTTAGTGATTTCCTTGGAATGACTTCTGCAGGGTAAAGGCATCAAATGTAAGGTCTCTGATCCATCCCCTTCTTCAAACACCCAAGACTCGTGTTAACTCACTAGAGGGAGCGTAGATTGCATACTTGGAAGGGAAGTTCCATACTGAGATACATGGTTTGTTGAGTGTGAAGGATAATTTTTTTCACCTGTATTAATCAGAATTTAGTGGTTGAATCTTTCTGCCCCCCCCCCCATCTCTTTCTATATGCTTATTCATGGCAGTCTATATAGAAAACATAACACACACACAAAGGAGGTGCTGGAGTGAACATGTGGTGTATATTCTAAGGCAACAGGTGAGAACATGACACATGGAGGATAATGCTTTTTAGATAGTGACCATGTTCCTCAGGCATCTAATTTCTCTTCTCCTCTTTGGTTTGCTCTTTGTACTCACATATGTTGCCTCAGCAGAGGGGAGAAGGCATTCACTGCCCCAAGGGCAAGCAAATGGCCTTTGAATCTCTTCTTAGCTTTTGTGTATCAAAACCTGGGTCTTAGGAGAACAGAAGGGACTCTTGGGGGTAAGGCAAGTGACTTTTTGATAATGATTGTCAAGAATTGGGGGGTGCCCCAGGCATCTATTTGGTAAAGGTCAAGAACACTACTAAAATACTCTAAAATGCACAGGCCAGCTCCACACAAGGAATTATCTGGTCCAAAATATTGATAGTGCTAAGGCTGAGACGTTCTGGATTAGCCAAAGGCTTGAGGTGGTTTGAGGAGGGTAGGGCTATTTTTCCAAGGAGAAAAATCTCCCCTGGTGTTGAGGATAATGGAAGCCAGAGGTAAGTTGGTGTGAGCACAGACAATGGTACCTGCTGGCTAAAGCAGCCCAAAGTTTGCCTCGTAAGTAAAGTCTTAAGGATGCAGCAAACAAAGAAAGATTTGTGCTGCCCAGAACATGGATATCCAGGGTATAAGGGTTTGGTAGTAAATCCAGGTAGCCAGCGCCTCATAGAGAAACTGCAAGGTGCTTACCTGAGTGTCAGGAAAGGAAGAGAAAGCTTCCAACCTAAATGTGGACGAGAGGGTTGGGTGTCTCAGTGTCCACCTGCTTGGATCCTGGATCAAATGGGATGAGGGAGCAGGCAAGGACTTTGGAGACAGACATCTTTTCTCCCTTTATCCCCACATCATTGTATGATGTGA